GGACTACATTAAATTCAAAAGCTTCTGCACAGCAAATGATACTTACCATAAGGAATTAATATCCACAATATATAAAGAACTTACACAATTCAACAACAAAAACCAATCTGATTTTAAAATGGCAGAGGATGTGAATAGACATTTTTTCCAAGGAAGACATACAGAAGGTCAATGTGCATATGACAAGAGGCTCAACATCACTAATTATTAGGGAAATGAGAATCAAAACCACAACGAGATATCACCTCACACCTGTTAGAATGGCTATCATCAAAAAAGATAAAAAAAATAACATGTGCTGGAGAGAATGAGAAGGAAAGGGAGCCCTCCTGCACCATTGGAATGTAAATTAATGCAATCACAGTATGGAGTTTCTTTTGAATATTAAGAGGGGATGGGGGTAAGGGTAGGGAAAATGGGGGGGAAGGGTTAAATATATGGTAACAAGGAAACGAGACTTTTGGTGATAAGCATGCAATCGAGTATACACATACTGAATTATAATGCTGTGAGAGCACATAAAGGGGGTGCCTAGCTGTGCTGGGAGCCCCACCAACCCCTGCCCCAATCCCAGGGATACTGGGGCTTCTTGTCAGAAAGGGGAGCAGAAGGTCACAGGTTGGAAGCCTGGCCCTAAGGCCGCTGCACCCACAGAGGCTCAGAGGCCCTCACACCCACCATTCTGCCGTGGCCATGGGGATCTGGCTAATCCCCCACCTGTAGCTTCTTCACTTGGGTCCATTTCACAGCCCCCTTGTCCTCGTTGGACTTGGTGCCCAAGGTCAGAGAAGGTACCACTCTTGGCCTCACTGGAAGGCTGGGCCTTTCCTGCTATGGGCCAGAGCCCCTCCCTTTTGGAACTCATCAATTCCTACAGTTAAGTTTTAAAATCTGGGTGCCTGCTCCAAACACCCTCCCTGGCCCTTCCAGTGCAGAAGACCAGCTTCTGCTGGCAGAAGCCTCGACGCAGGGACACTGTGGACCTTCCGTTTGACCCGAGTGAAGAGCGAGGAAACAGGTAGCAGACTTCAGTAGCAAGTGTTTCTGGGGCCTTGGGGTTCAGCTCAGTGGGGGATCCTGAATGGCCCCTGACCTCAGGGGCTGCAATCTAACCGGGTAGAGAAGGCCCAGAACCAGTCTTGGATCTGAGGGGATCTTCAGGGCACTCAATGTAACCCCCTGCCCAAGGGGACAGCTCTTCTGAGGAGCCAGGCCTTCACCTTCATTCCTAAGGGAATGTTTATTCACCTTCGTGTTGTTCCTAAGGGAATGTTTAACAGTGATCCAGACAACTGCATTACATCCAGGTAGGCAGCCAAATAGTACCTGGAAGGATAGATGTACAAGGCGGGCTAAACATCCCTGGAAATCAGAACTCTGCACTGGGACAATAGCACCGAGTAGAGAGGAAACATTCCTGAAGGTCTGGTGGGTGGGGCTGAAACCTCTCTTCTTCAGAATAACAGGTTACTCCCTCCACCAAGCCCCTAAGCACCTTGGTTAGTACGAGCACAGGGTCCAGTGTTCTTAGCTAAGCATTGTAAACTCTCCCCTTCCCACAGAAGCACGTGATACGCCGGGGTTCGTTAAATGTAGATTTAAGGGCTTCTTCACATCCCTCACACCTCTTTTCCTCCAAGCTCATGCAATCATCATGTTCAAGTGCAAAAGCTTCGGGAAGAAGGGACAGGCCTTATTTTCCACTCAAACCAAAGATAGTGGCGTGTGCTCCTCGGAGAGGCCCTGGGCACCCACCATGCCTCTTTTCCTTTAAATTATATGCAAAGAATTTTGGAGTGGAAGGGAGTTAACTGACGTAGCTCAACCTATTTTATCCCGGAGAAAACTGAGGCCCAGGACTAAGTGTCTCTTCAAAGGTCAGAGTGAAACAGAAAAGTGGGCTTCTGACTTTGTGGGTAAGACGCACACGCTTCAGTCTGACATCACTGTCATGAGGTGGGAGCGGAGGACCACTTTCTGATACTGTCAGGATGTAACTAAAAGGATCCAGCTTGATCCTTTTCTTGCTTTTCCCTTCTGAGTCCTACATACACAAAAGCTTACTGCCATCTATAGGACACCTTGTATCATTACTCCGAATTTCCACCTTGGGGCCATCTTGATACCCCAGCTACTCAGAATTTGTTTTAAAGATTCCACCATCTCACCCAGGCAAACCTCTAACACCTACTAAGTGCCAGAGACTGAGGATCTGAGTTCCTGCACACAAGCCTCACCTTGACTTCTATTTAGACATTGTCTGAGCCCACTGTGTTACTAAACTACACTTGATCTTGTTCCTTTTGGCTCTACATGGCCATACCTCTTTAAATTTAGCTTCACTCACTGGCCTCTGGACAAAAATAGTAGTCATTACTTATGTGCCGTGCTAAATACGTACTAAGTAGTTCTAAGCATGCTCTCTTTAAATATACAAACTCACTTAATCTTAGAGAGGAGGACTGAGAAAGGCTGTTATCCTAAGTTTGGTAAAACCCTCATCAAGATAAAGCAGAGCTGTAAGGCACTCGCGGAGGCATGTATTAGCTCTCCTCACCATAGGTGCTGGCTCCCAAGAGCTTATACACAGATGGCTGAGAGGCAAATAATCATATGGAATTATGGCTCTTTTCCAAATGCCCTGGGAAAGCTGCCAAAAGCTTTCCCTGAACGGAGAGGCAGAGCTCGGACAGCAGTGAGCATCCCACAGCCTCTGGATACAAGACGGAGTACCTGCCAATCTCAACCACCCGCATCAAATGCTGCTCCCGGGAATGCGGTTCTCTTTAATCACATCACAGGAGCTGCTACAGGGGCACAGAGAGTTTTATGAATATTCCAATTCTTGAGTCATAGCCTCCGTAGTAGGAAACGGTTAATATGCATCCCATCCCCAACTGTAACACAAAGCAAACTGTCAAATACCTTTAACTAGGATCTTAAGATTTCCTCTAAACTGTTCTCTAGAAACATCATTTGTGGCTTGATGTCTGCCTTTTGAACAGGGACACACAAACAAAAAAACGCTTGTTTGCAAACAAACATCAGGAAGACTATGTAGCAGCTGATCTGGGCCACAGCACACAACAAAGTGACGATTGTGGAAGAAAACAATGCAAACAACTCTGGTGCAAAAGTCTCCGGGCAGAGAACTTGCAGGATGGGTATTTCTGCCAGCCCCAAGGCACCCAACACGAACTGAAGCTGGGAGGGTCTCCACCACTGGGCAATTTATTACCTGGATCGAAAGAAGTCACTACCACTAACAGCACTGTGCAGTTTTATTAACCATTCAAGTACAGTAGCATCTGGTAAGATCGGGACAGAATTGGGATTTAAAAGGGAACAGATATTCAGCATCTAACAATTTAAAAGCAACCACTACATACTCTTTTCACAAACATGTTTTCACAGAGCCAAAACAGTACTAGCCATTGACCCAGCACACCAAGTGTACTGAAGTAGAAAAGGTACAACAAGAAAAATAGCTACATTAGAAAGACCTCAACACTTTAGAAAAAGCGTAAAACACTTTCAGTTTCTCCCCTTTATCCCCCTAAAACAACATCATACAGTCTGGATCTACCTATGGTCCTACATCAATCAGCTTCTAAATATTTGTCAGGAGGGCAAAAATAAAATGACACTGGCCAGTACAGTCTTTGGATATTTAGGAAGGGGAGGGGGAGAAAATCAGTTCTCAAAACAAATTAGTCAGCTTCAGTCTCATCAGCAGGATCTTTGGATTCTTTGTTCTTCCGCACTTCTTCAATGTGCTTGTCCTGTAAAGAAACAGTACATGTCATCAGGCAAATAAAGCAGCCTGCCCAGTCATGCCTCCTAAAGAGGTCCCACACTGTGTCAGTTCATTATTATATAAGTAGTATTATAAATATAGTAGGCACCCATTTCCTCGGTTTTGCTTTTCCTGGTTTCAGTTAACTGGGGGCAACTGCAGTATGAAAATATTAAATGGAAAACTCCAGAAATAAACATTTATTAAGTTTTAAATTATATGTCGTTCTGAATAGCACGATGAATTCTCACGCTGTCTCGCTTGTCCTGCCAGGATAACATCACCCCTTTTCCCAGTGGATTCATTTAGTAGCTGTCTCTGTTATCAAATCAACTGTCACGATATCAGAGTATCTATGTACATGGTAACCCTTCTTTTACTTAATGACCTGAAAATACAAGGGTAGTAATGCTGGCAATTAAAATGCCAAAGAGAAGCTGTGAACTTTATCACAGGGGAAAACAGTGCATACATACAGGGTTTGCTACTATCCGTGGTTTTAGGCATCTCTTGGGGGTCTTGGAACATAGCCCACACAGATGAGGGAGGACTACTATATAATTTTATTATGTGAATCAGATAATTGAGTACTAAAACATAATCTTCAAACTTCCTGGATCACCCGAGGAATCTAATGATCGAGCCTCCTACTGTTCTCCCAAAGAAAGTGCAATTATGCTGGAAATTGTTGAATATTCCATCTTATTTTTTTAATTGATTTCATTTTTAAAAAAATATATTTTTTTTATTTCAGAGAGGAAGGGAGAGGGAGAAACATCAATGATGAGAAAATCGTTGATGGGCTGCCTCCCGCATGCCCCCTACTGGGGATTGTGATTGCAATCAGGCATGTTGCCCTTGATTGGAATCAAACCTGGGACACCAGTCCTCAGGCTGATGTTCCATCCACTGAGCGAAACCGGGTAGGGCTATTCAATCTTATTTTAAAATAAGATACCTCTCATTTTTGTTTTGTTTTTTAATTTTTTTTTAATGGTAAAGAATCATGAATTTATTAGGTCATCAGGAAAACTAGATGGGATGAGCCCCAAAATGGCACCAGCAGAGGCCACTTCTCATTTAACACGTTAAGCCCCCAAATCGATGACAAAGATGCCAAACACCTTCAATCATTGTCATTGGTGGAAGCCAGTTCACTGGTACATGAAACTCCACGCCTCCTCCTGCAAGGGGAGACGCCCACCTTCTCTCGCAAACGCTCCAGTTTGGCAGCCATCTGTGCCTCTCGGTTCTCCTTGTTGGCTTCCATTTTGTGGGTCAGCTTCTCCTCTGCCATTTTACTGAAGTTGTTGTTCTCCTCGATGGCTTTCTGAAGCACTTCTTTCTCGTGCTCTCGTTTCTCAGCAAGCTGCTTCAAGACCTCAGCTTCATGGGACTACAAGGCAGAATGAGATCTCTTTAGACAGCACTGAGGCCAGGCCCTGAATGATCTGTATCAAAACATTATGAAAATCATTTTCTGCTGTTTGTGTTTACTTTGGAAAACTGTCTGCTTAGAGAATCTTATCCAATCGCTCCTTAAAGAAATCCTTATAAGATTTACTGCTTAATGGTATCATGGTATCAAGATAACTTGAGTGAATGCACTTAAAAATGGAACTTTATCATAAAGAATTTTGTTATTTAATTTGAAAGGCTATCCAAAGGAAATCAGCTCATTATAAAAGTGCAACCACACTGATAAAATACATGAATGAAGAAATGTTAAGCCTCCAGATTACTCTTTAAGCCGGAAGGATTTCTCTCAAAGAAAAGCTTACTAGCTTTCCTCTGTGGAAGCTGCACTGACTTCCAGACCCCGGAGCTTGATTGCCAGGGTGTGCCTCCCTCAACAGACTCGGAATAGCTTGTTACCAAACAGACTCGGCCGTGTTTGGAAGCACTGACTTGCAGGAAAACTACAGAGCATCTGCCATTGGTTCTGTTAATTCTCTTTTAAATCCCAGACAAGAGTTCCCCTATATTTAGCCAGTCCCTAGGTGAAGCACAGGCTAATGGCTACAGGGCCACGGTGATCTCTCGGTACTTCTCTGTCCAGCTTTAAGCTGCATTTCTTCCGTGAACACAAACGACAGGAGAGCAGGTAAGGTGATGCATCGCTGCACACACTGCCCTCCTCCTGGGGAAAGGCTCCTCAGTGTGGATAGGGGGCCAGTGTACATGCATACAACCGTGGCACTGAAAAGCGCATGGCACCTGCTGCAGAAGCTTAAAAAGGGGCCGTTGTGTGGATGTGTGTGGTTAAATGTATTGGACTTAAACTGCACTTGCTGTGTTGATGGGGGCAGGTTATTACTTTACCTTTTTCTGACTTAGTTTTCCTAATTTCAAAATTAAACCCATTCACCCCAATCAGTAATTGGTAAGGGGGACCAAATGAGAACTTTTCTAAAATTTCCAATTAATAGAATAATGTTGAATGAAAGGAAATATTCCAACATGTTAGTGGTTATTTCTAGGAAGTATGATAAAGAATACTCAATTTCTTATTTATAAACTTCTGGGTTTCCCAATTTTTCTATAACAAGTATATTAATGGTTACTGATTTTTCTGATTATTTTAAAGATGTCTACTTTAAGTAGAATAGCTTACATAAGAGAAAAGCTGCAAAATACCAGAATGCCAGCTGAGCAACAAAATCACATTACTAGCAATTTAAAATGTTTTCTTTTCTTTCTTTTTTTAAAATTGATTTCAGAGGAAGGGAGAGGGAAGAAAGAGACAGCAACATCAATGATGAGAGAGAATCATGGATCGGCTGCCTCCCACACGCCCCCCACTGGGGATCAAGCCTAAAACCTGGACTTGTGCCCTGACTGGCAATCAAACCCGGGACCCTTCAGTCTGCAGGCTGAAGCTCTATTCACTGAGCCAAACCAGACAGGGCTAAAGTTTTTATTGTATAGTTCTCAAGGAAACAAAAACAAAAATACTACACAGGCACACACACAAAGCTCGGTACCTAAGACATTACCTACCCTTTTAGAGTCACTGTACTAAAGGAGAAAAATATAAGAAGTTGGTGTATGTATAATAGCTTAATAAATGATGTTTGGTGTTTTCTTCCAGTCACTGGCATTACATAATTTTCACATACGTATAACCACTGTCTAGTTACAATTCTGTTTTCCTCCTGTTATGGAAATAAAATTGATTTGTCATATTACTATAATACCATTTTCTGTGAATTCTGATGTTTACCTTGCGTCTTTCTTCTGCCGCTTCTAATTTCTTCTGAATTTCCTCCAGGGAAAGATCCTTCTTCTTTGGAGGGGAAAGGGGGAATTCTGGGACGGGTTCTTTTGATCGAGGGCTGAGAATCAGCTCAAAAGCCTGGCCTGAAGCACGCTTCTCCAGTTCTTTCACCTGGATATCTGGATTTGATCGTATTTATAATGTATTCAGGAAAATAGGGTTTTCCTATTCTAATAAACTGTTCTCTAATTTTCTAAAAATCAAATCAAGGTAATGAATAGAATTAGGGCTAATGAAGCTGTGTTTGCAAGCAAGAAATTATTATGTAAATATCACGTTCCAAAAAAAAAAAAAGTTGTTCAACATTTTCTGATTTATAAATAACATTCTGAAATATCAGTATTTGACAGTCACTTTCATGAACAAAAGACTTGTGCAAAACTCCACATTTTGCTTCAGAGCAAGCCAAATCATCTAATAATGAAACAATTAATTATAAGCTCTCTCAGTACATTCAAATGATAGCCATTTGTTCTTTAATTATTCTACGATTTATAAAATACATTTTTATAAGACCAAAACACAGGTACCAAATTAATGTCTAAGACTTAAGCCACCTCCTATTCAGAAACCATAAGCCCATCACAATTTCAGTTTTTCCCAAACCGTTTACCTACCAGAAGAAGCCATGGTGAACAGAAGACAAGAGCCTGGCAATATATTCTACACAATCCACTGGCAAGGGAAGCCCTGAAAACGATTTTCAAAAGCATGCAATCAATTTCTTTGCATTTCTATATGTCATCCATCCCTTGGGGAGGGGCCATGAAATCACATCCACATAAATCAATGTCAGAAAAATCACTACCGTGGAATTAAATAAGACGTCATTAACTAGAAATGATGAAAAGCTCAAAAATACCAACCATTGGGAAATTTCAACTGAATAGAACGTTGGATGTAGTTAACTCAACAGTAAGCCCGGAGCCATCTTAATAGTGCCTACAACTCATTGTGCAAATGAAATACCCACCCCTGCTTTGTCTATGCCTGCCGTGGTGGAAAACAAAACGCCCAGGCTAATATTAAACAATAATGTTGAACACCTATTGTTCTTCGGGCTTAAAGATCCTTGTCCAACAGCGGGCAAAATCAGTTTTATGAATGTCTAGGTTTTACGTTATATTTGCCGCCTTAATGTCACGAAAAATTCTACATCCTATCTTGATTTTTCTTTTTAAAGGTCATGATTCTTGTAGCCCTACAAGCATCTCGTGGCCCTACACTAGTATCAAAGATATAGGATTACAGGTCCCTACCAGCTGGAAATTAAAACCAGAGGCAGAGAAATGATTTAACATTAGCAGAGCATTAAACGCAGCAGCGGACCCCAGGATGGGCGTGGCCCTGGCCCGAAAGCGGCCCCCGGCCAATCAGAGCGCGCTTAGCGCTCCGAGCCCTGGCCCCGCCCCCTTCCTCCCCGCGCCTTTTCGAATCCGAACTCACAACACCCAGGAGCCCGCGAGCGTGGAGAGGGGAGGGGTGGGCGGGACTAACGGTCTATTCGGATAACCCCGCCCACCCCGGGCTGCTCCCCCGTGGACGGCCCCCCCCACTCCCGCCAAAATCACCTTGAGGCCGCCCCCACGCTGCCGCGGCTCCGGACCAGGCCCTGGGCTGGCCTCCACCCCGCTCACCACCACCTCGCTGTGCTCCCACCCAACCCACTGCCTCCGGAGCCGTCCGCGCCCTGCACCGCGCGCGCAGGAGTCTCCGTGGGGTGTGAGCCTCTCCGGCGCGGCCCCACGGTCACTGGGCGAAGAGAAGCGCGGGGAGCGGGTGCAGCCCTCGGGTGGCGCAGTCTGGCCCTAGGGGCGCTGCTGCCAGGAGGCGCCTCCCAGCCCCTTCAGACAATGGGGACCCCAGCGGGGCCACGACTGGAGAAGGAGTGAGAGAGGCAATCGGGGACCCACGCCCCCTATTGTCTCCTCGACAGCACCCGGGGACTAACGCCCGAGGCTGGCCCAGCTGGCCGCGCCCCTTCCCCAAGACAGCCGCGCCCCCAGGGAGTAGGGACAAAGCCCAGGCTCCGCCCGAGTCACACACAAAGCGCAGCGACCCCCACCCATCAGCTCCTCGGGGGGTCCGGGGCCCCGCCCGCCGTCTTCGAGCGGAGAGCGGCCCCGAAGACGCAGCCCGTCTCGTCCACCCCTTCCCCCCTCGCTGCCCATGGGCTCCGCTAAGAACCCCACACCCACCTGCCCGGTCCGAGCCGCCTGGCCGCACTGAGCACCAACAGACCCGAGCGCGCACAAAAGCGCCAAACAGCGGCACGTGACCTCCCCGGAGGGCTTCACATTGGCTGACAGGGGCGGCACGTGCAGCGGACCCCGCCCCTGTGGGCCCCGGAGCACCTCGGGAAATGTAGTCCAGGCTGGCGAGGCAGGAGGACAATGCGAGGGGCGTGGGCGTTTATGGGTCTCCCCAGGTGTGAACGAGGGCCCTGGCGGTTGTCTAGCCGCGGAAAAGGACGTGGCCCTCGGTCTAGAACTGAACCAACTCTCCCAGCTCTAAGGAAAAGGGCAGGACCGGGAGGGGCGGGGCGGGGCGGGGTCCCTCCGCACCTCTCAGAGGGTGGCTGCCTGGCCGCTGCCTTGGTTGAGCTACTTGCTCCGCTTCGTCGAAAGGACAATACTCAGGGCGCAGTGGCCCAACGGTGTCCCCCCTGCCCCGTGCCGCTACCTGAGATGCCCAAGCCCTTGTGACAGGACAATGCCACCCTACGCCCCTAGTGAAAGCCCCCTGCACCCGAAGCCGTTCCTTGACACCTGCTCATCACCTGTATTGTGACATCACCATAATCCCTAAGCCACCCAGCCCTGACAGATCGCGGGCGTGGTCCTTGCCTTCCTTTGTGCGTTCTCGCTTCCATCCTATGGGTTCCCAAACATGGTCAGAGCGGAGGAGTGAAAGCGTGAGTGACTTAGGCCAAAAGCTCTGGAATTTGATCTCCTTCTGTCTAAATTGGCTTAAATGCAGACTCCATCTGTTCTGCCTGCTAGCCTTTGGCCAGATGCTAGGAAGGAAGAGCAGTAGCAGTTACACAGACTGCCCTTAAATGTTGCTTTTGTTCTTGGAGCACGTGCTCCCCAGAGCGATGATGGACCTTTTAAAAATAATTTAAAACAAAAGGAGCCACAAGGTCACTCACTATTCCTCCATGTCTGGGTAGATCCAAGCGCAGCAGAGGTACAAAGGAAATTGTTCTGACCCTGGATATCAGATTAGAATGATCGGCCTCCCTCTTCCCACAAAAAGGCCTGAGGAAAAAGAATAAAATGGATATGGTTCCCAGGCCCCTCCTCCCATTCCCCTGACCAAGGCTGTGTCCTCAGGGAGTGGTCATGGCACTAAGGCACCTGCTTTGACATCCTGACTGGGTAGAAGAGCACCTTCATCTTATTAATCAATGGACTCCCTCTCCCCAAACCCAGAAACAGATATGACCAACTCTGCAGAAACAACAGTCCTAATTTAAAAAGACTCTCCATGTCCTGCTAGTCACTAAAGATACAGTGAATCGGTGCCCGAGACAAGGAAAACTGGATCCTACAGGCAGCAGACACAGCACACAAAGCAAACAGTTAGCAATGTCCTGTGGCCCGAAATATGCTTGTTGCTGCATTTTCTACAACAATTGCCCTTGTGTGGGGTCGGCTTTCCCCTGCCCCCAACCTAAGTGGTTTTCCCTTAGCGTGTGAGCAGGACCAGAAATTCCTCAGATTCTCCGCCCCGAAACGCTTCTCCCTCTCAGACCAAACCTGGCCACGAAACAGCCAGGTGTTTCCATCGCTTTCTGTTTTCTGAGTGAAATCTCAGAAACGGTTAGAAAAGCTGGAGAGAGGGGAGGACTCGACCTCACTGAAGGGACAGATTGGCAGGCAACACAGCCGAGCAAGGAACCCAAGACCAAGAGTTCTGTTATCCCTGGAACCTCTCTTTATCTCCAAGCCTTTGTTCTTGATCTGGAGGTTTCCAGAGGAAGGTCCCACCCCTTTTCTTAAAAAAGAAATTGCCACGCAAAAATCTCACATTTCTGACTATTAATGTTATGACAGGAAAAAAATTAATATTTCAAAAACACTGATTATTTTAATGCATGTACAATGCTTTCTCCCCCCACCACCCTCCTTTTCTTTCTCCTTAGAGCAGATGTCTATTTCCATGGAAACCATAGCTAGCAAGAAGATGTCAGAACTCATGTAGATTTCTGATCTTTGTTAACGATGCCACTTAGCTCCTGGGTTTGCTGTGAGATGCCTGGCCCTGCCAGTCTCGGTGACAAAGATTTCCCGGGAGCCTCCCTGTTGCCTAGGGACTAAGGTTTCCCCTAGAATGGTCCCAAGAATAAAAAGGTGCTTGTGAGAGGGGGATGATCCCTGTTTTAGGGCCGATCCCTGTTTTGTCTTTCCGAGAGCCAGACCAGAGCTATCTATTGTCAGCTCTTCTGGGTATTCATGGATGAGCCCTGGACTAGGAAGAGCTTTCCATTGTGAGGAGAGAAAAACCGTTTTGCCACTTCTCGGTGGAGAGGGACAGAGCTCCCATCTTGGATGCTTCCTAAAATGAACTCCGAACCCAGACCCTCCTGAAGGGGCGGCACGGGGTTCATGCCCCCATCTCGGCTCTGCCTATCTCTCCCCGGGAGAATTGTTTTTGCCTCTGCTCCGATGGTTTGGTCGGATTGCACTGGAGCTGGCTGGAACTGGATTAGCACAAAGTGAAGTCAAGATAGGGCAGCCATCCAGCTTATTTGATCCGCGTAGGCAGCTACAGGACAGCACTGCAGGCTTCAAAGTCCAGAAGGGATGCCTGCACTGATCAGTCGCGCCGGAGGCAGCCCTCAGATCTCTGTTCCTGCGGAGCAGCACCGGCAGCCTTTGTCCATTGTTGGTTCTGAGGCTGCAGGGGTTGTCTCCCACTTCGGCGCCCCCGGAGAGCTCCACTGGGCTCCCAGGGCCTGTCCTTGGCAAAAGGGTGTCGTGGGAGAGCTTTCTCCCTGTCCCCAGCCTCTCTCTCGTTCCCTTTGTCCCCTGTCGCTCGGGCATTGTGCTCAAACACTCCCTTCCCAGTTCAGATGCTGTCTGTGAATCTGCTGTTTCACACACTTGGCTCCATCCCTGGAGGAGTAAGTCCAAGAAGGCAGGGGCTGTGTCTTTGTCTTGATTTCCCCGGTGCCCAGAACCAGGCCTGGTCCAGGATGGTGGGGTCTGGACATTTGCGGTTGACTTTAGACAAGAACAACTTCTCTCACCCTCAGCTTCCTCTTCTGTAATGCTCCAGGATTATAATGAGGTCATGTACGTGAAAGCACAGTGCCTGGCACGTCAAAAGTACCTAATGTTTGTTAGCTATTATTGCTAAAGAAGCTTCTTGATTGCTATAGGTTATTGAAGGAATGAATGAATGAATGAATAGCAATCATTGTCTCAGGGTTAACTCTTACCATGGGGTATTTTACAAACTTCCATTCCTTTAACATTTTGAGTAGATAATACATTCACATAATTTAAAAATAAAGTATGAAAAGTCCTCCTCCCTTCTCTATTCCACCTGCCAAATTTGATACCCCCTCCCCATCATAACCATTGTTCTCTTCCTGTTATCCTGAAGTTTCTTTATATGTACAT